ACTGGTGAGCAGTGAGCCAACTAGCCATGAACCCCAAACATGGCATTCTATCCGAAGATAGACTTAACTTCACACGGAGATGGGTGACCATCTAATGAGTTCAGGCAAAAGAACTCGTTAGGATAACTTTTCTTCCCGCAATTATTTATAATTTCAAATCAATTGACCTATGTAACCTTATTTGTATTTGTATTTGTCATCTAATCGACTCTGTAGCTATGAGATCAATTATCGATCTCCCAGAAGCTTTGTTTGTAATCTTGATTTCCTTGTTGTTCTGTACTTCAATACCCCTATCATCCTATTGTTAGTTTACTCGGTTTTTCCACATAATGTGTACGATCATACTAATTTTAAAACATGCCATCCCGTCCGATCTGGCTAGTCAAGTAACGTCAGGCCTGGTTTGTACTTGGATCGGAGACGACTTGAGTATCCCAGGTGTCGTACACTTTTTCCTTTTTCTACTATTTAGCGAGGGAAATATGGATGTGGCTTCAGTAACTATTTCTCTGCTTTCGTTTGAATATTTTCGAAGTTTTTTTCCAACTCAAAGCTTCTCTTTCTCCTTTCGATCTGTTCGGTTTTTTCAGGGATAGGTGTTTCAGATTTGTTCTACAGACTGAAGAAATCAGATTCTGGTCTGGACAACATTTGTATTCAAGTCCTAAGATAGTTTCCAATTACCAGTTTGTTCCTAATCTTCCCCTGAATGCCGTATACCCTGTATTCAACCTGATCAGTTAAATAANGTTCCTAATCTTCCCCTGAATGCCGTATACCCTGTATTCAACCTGATCAGTTAAATAACTTTGACCCTATGCCAACTAACGAATTTTCATACTGCGCTCTAATCCGACTTTTTAAAATCAAACTGATATACGTGAACTCTCGTTACTGTAGTTGCACAAAGCTTCTTATGGAAACATTTAATTAGTTTCGAATCTTTTAAAGTTATTTCATAATTAATTTGCATATTCATATGTGTTGTTCTGTTGTTTTTTGACGAGTTTCTTACTGATAGCAATATAGAAACC